TTACGCAGTTTAAAACAGTTTTTAGGAAAAGATAAGAGCGATGGATTTTGATGGCGCAAAGTGGGATATGATATCAATACTTTGTGGAAAGGATTTCAATGCTTTAGATAATGAAGAGCAATCTTCACTTCAGCAGTGCCTAATTGTTGGTAACGATAAAAAATTCATTTTATCTTAAGTTCTTTTCAGGGTCTTACTGTTATTTGCACTTTTTAGTGTACAGGGCAGTAGAACGCTTAAGAAGAGTTGAAAAGCTCAGCTCTTTTGAGCAGATGAAGACCTACGAAAAAATTGCAGACGAATTTATAGATGTAATGTCTTTTATTTATTCGCAGAAACTTTATGTTTCTTATGGCATTTTCCAACTTGATTGATTACAGTTAGACTTTCGTGAAGTTTCTTTGGAGTTCTATGAGAAGATGTTAGCTTGCGCTGAAAGCAAGTGCGACAGAATAAAAGCATTTGTTTCTATCGCTGAAACTGCCCGAGAGTTGAACGATTTTGAAAAGGCTTACCAATGTTATTCTGTCATAGAGTCTATCGAAAATACTCTAACACTTGAAAATAAAAAAGTAAAACGTTTTGACTTTTTTGTGCTGTTTAAAAAAAATCAGAAGTTCTCTTCAGAAATGTTTCTTCTTGACTTTGTTTAAATTCAGAGGGCCGAAACAGCGATTTGTCTTTTGGAGGTGACCACGAAACTTAAAACTTTTCCACCATTAGAAGTAGAGGAACTATATTTGAAAGCCAAAAAGTACGCCGAAACGCATCATCAGAAGGTTTCTGTTTAACTAGTCAACTTATCGTTATTATGTTTTCGTAGTCGGTTTTTACATCACATTGGCTGGAATGTTAGAGAATTTCTAATAGTGATATTACGCAGGGTGGAAAGGAAACTTTGACTGCTAGGAGTAAGTGGATTTGACGTCTGCATAGCTGACATGTAGAATTCTTTTATTTGTTTATTGAAAAGATGCTTTTAGCTTATTTTGCGTGAAATATATCTGGAGTATCTAAAAAAGATGGAAGGTATGCGACCTAAGATTGAAAAGTTAAAATCGGAATTAGAGGTTATCAGAAAGGAAAGAAATGACAGTCCTGAAATGTTGTCTGATACCGAGGAACACGATAATGAATGGGCTGACAAATTTGGGGACCTCAGCGGTTCGCAGATTTTAGCACAATGCGAAGGTAATAATTATTTACTTTCGTCAGTTGCTTCACTGGTTTTTCTATCAGTTGCTTGGTTTTAGTGGAAGCTACACGGAGAAATATGGAGGAACGAATAAGACAAGAAAAAGATAAAAAGATTAACTTATATGGTGAAACAAGAATGCACGAAGCTGCAAGAGGGAACGATTTGGCGTACCTTCGCTTGCTGCTAAAACACGTAATTAGTTCTAAAATATTTTACAGTAGGTAGATTGTAATTTGTATTAACGTGTATGACAGCACTTGTTATTCGTACGACAGTTTTTTAAAACGTTTAATTTGATGTGAACAAGCTTGTTTAGGGTTACAGTATCAACGCTAAAGACGAAGGAGGTTGGACCCCACTTCATGAAGCTGTCGGTGCCTTGAAGGTGGAGAATGTGCGCTTGCTTGTTGAAGCTGGCGCTTGTCTTGACATTCGTTCAAATGAGGGCACTCTTTCTGCAGAGGGAGAAAGAACAGTCCGTTTTTTTCTTCAATTTTGTTTCCTTTACCTGTTTTCGTCTGCAGCACAGGTATCATACAACAGTATAATTTTTCAGGATAGTGGTGGGCTTACTCCTTTAATGGAAGCTTGTGATCGTGGTTCTACTGCAATCGCAAACTTGTTGTTAAGCCATGGTGCTAATATCGCTCTTCGGAATAAAGATAACTGGACAGCTTTAGATTTTTTTCGGAATGCTTTAGCAGTCGGTATGGTAGAGGAAGAAGATATGTCTGCTGCGAACGATTTAGTTGTTTTAATGGAAGCCCGACTGCGGCAAGGTAATTTTTTAGCCTTGAGGTTCTTTTGGTATACGATAAGCGCGTATTTCCATTGTACGGAGTGCAGTTTGCTAATGTTTTCATGTTCTTTGCTGTGTTTTAGTCAACGCACCAGTGAGTAAATTTCCACCTCCAAAGAAGTTAACTCCACTTAATTCGCGGGAAAAATTGAGTATTGGGAAGGAAAGTGTTCAGGCCGTTCAAAAATTGTCACCGGAGAGAAAAAATTTATTAGAGTATCGTAAAATAATGCGACATGTTGGCAGAGGTGATGTGCACGAAAGAACGGGGACCATCTATGCGGAAGTGGAAGATTTTACGAATGAGGTTGCTAGAACTTCTGCTATCATCACTAAACTGTGTTTAATAAATTTTTTAAGTAAAATTGAAGGAAAAAAACTGGGTGATTTGAATAGTCAGAGGTGCATGCGCTAATAGCACAATAGTTTATTTCCTGAATAGCCAGTAGTTCTTTTCAGAATTGAAAGTTGAAGCTTTTTGTAATATTTGTTTTGCCTGTCCAACTGTCTCAAACTCTCTTTAATTACTTTGTGTCTTTTTTGGATTGGCGTTTTATGGAAGTTATTTTGTACCATCAACTAAATTTTTATTCAAAAGTAGGAGACGAATACAATTTACATGCACTTTTTAGGATTTTTAGACTTAGAATACACTTATTTACAAGGAAAGTGAGGTTCTTTTTGTTGGAATGGTTTATTTCTTTCAGATTATTTAATGCAGTTTATTCGTTCTGCATAAAACGTATTTTTGCTTGATTCAGGTAGGTGGTAGCAGTTCAGCGAGTGTGTCCGATAATTTTGGTTCAATTTTTGATTCTGACAGTCTTTGTGGTTTGGTCGATGATTCCGTTGGTACGTAAAGCTTGTTGATTTCTTGATTTTTTTCAAGAGACATCTCTTTTTATTAGGGAATTGGTCTTCTACTTGTTTTTTGCTAGTAATTTGCTAATTTCTAGTGCGGTTGCTGAAATGAAGTATGAACTCGTAAAATAATACGTTTTTTGAGGTTCGTTTAATGAGTCATTTAGTCGGGTGGTCAAGAAAAAACGCCGGAGGTCAGGATCAACTGGATTTAGTAACAGCCGTATTAGGAGGCGAAAAATGGTCGAGTAAGTTAGCCTGGCAGATTTCTACAGTTTAGTCTACAATTTCATTCTTAGCTTTACTATTATTGTTGTTACATTCATTTGCCTTCCAGAATACCCTGTGAAATTATTATTTTGCTGTTTAAACAAACAATTTATTTTTTAGAGAACTGGGAAGTGACTCGGAAGAGGAACTTTTGACTGTTACCAATCCTCTACATAGTGTTCAGGATAATAACTTTAGTCGAAGTTAGTAAAAATTATTTTTTTAAATTATTTATAATTCTTTACCAATATTAGAGTTGCAGATACAGCAGCGACTACTGACAGAACAGTGAACGAAGACTCAATTCCACCCAAAGTGAAAACGTCGGAAATTGTTTCAACAGAAGCCCCCTCAAAACCATCAGACACGCAAAGCCTGATCTTTATAAAGATAGTATTCAAACAGACGGATGGCAAAAGGATTAAAGTTAAGGGAATACCGTTCAATCGGTAAGTTTTGAACATTTTTTTGCGGCTTATAGAACCTCAGTTTTTTACAGTATTCGTTAACTTCAATTTAATTTTACTTATTTTTTGAAACTGGCTTTGTAGAAGTGCAGTTGTGTCTGCAGTACGCAACAGATGTCTAAAAGAGATATGCAGTGAGGACGAAGTGACTTCACTTTCTATACGTCAAGGTGACTGTGAATTAAGTGATGAAACTCCGATCGCTTTGGTGCTGGATGGTTTAGAAAATACTTTGGACTGCTTTATTGAGGGAACGTCAAAGCTTAGTCCATCGCAAACGTATCTAAAGAAAGCTAAAGGTCAGTATGTAAGACTTCTTCTTGATATTAAGATATATTGAATGTAAATTGGGCACTTAAGTCCTGTTTATCTTGCAGTTAAGAAAAGTAACATTGTTAGAGCCCTTGATGAAGCACGAAGAGGACTACTGGATTTAAGCTATTGTTTTGTTGAGAGGGAAGGCGACGCATTATCCAGCGCGCTTATGGCTTTCTCTTTGAATTCCCTCTCGGAGCTTGTCTTGAGTGGCAACTTTTTGTCTGAGAAATTTATTAAAAGTGTGGCTTATCTCGCACGTTTCCTTGAAGTTTTGAAGCTCGAAAGTTGTGGTATAACCAAGTAAGCTTTTAAGAATTTTTTCGATAAAATTTTATGTCTGTTTAGACTAAAATTTTGAAATTTTTTCTTATAGCTAATCTAGGAAGTGTTTTTTGTTTTTGAAAAAGCGTGGACCAAAAGTTAAATTTTCTTGAATTTTCCTATTTATGCAATCCACTTAGCTCACTAAAGTATTAATAATTATATTTGATGAAAGAATTAGATCATTTGCTTTTCATTTCTGGAAATATATTAAGTATTTTCAGTCAGACTATTGAGGGCCTTTTGGGTGATCGAAGTAGTTGCACCCGTTTGTCTCATTTGGATTTGAGCTATAATGACGTCAGCAATTCATTCGCGGCAAATTCACTATCATCGTTCCTAAATGTCTGTCCAAATTTGAAGCGCCTTAACCTCAGTTCTTGCGGCCTGAGCGCTGTCGCGTTACCATGCTTATTAGATGTTTTTAAAGGTAAATGCATGTACAGTTTTCTAGCATGAAATTGCAATTGAGGTTTTTTAAAGCCGGCTTATTTGAGGACTAGATGCTTAAAGGTTTGTTTATTCTAAAACTTCCAAACATATTTGGTGATTTTTGCTGTTAAATTTTTCAGGCCTAACCTTGCTGGAGGACCTAAATATCAGTCATAATCCTTCAGTGGATTCTTCGTTCGTAACAAAAGTGACAGAGATTTGCACTCAACTTTCAAACTTGAACATTTCTGATACTGGATTTCAGCAGTTCACACCCGATGTTAGTCAGTCTACAGTAGTTCAGCATGTTTCAGAAGTTCATACATGGTTCTCTGAGAAAAATTTTTTTACAGCTGAAAACCTGTCATTTAAAATCGCTTTCACTATATGGGTGTGAAATCACCAGGGAGTTCACTTCACAATCATTCCTTGAACATTTGGAGGCATTTTTGTTTTTGGATTTCTCTTACACTATGATTTGCTGTTCGGATTTGGAGGCATTTATGGAGTGCAAGAAAAGCAAGGTATAAATGCAATATTTTATTGGAGTTTCATGTTTCATAATCGTAACTTATCTGTTTAAAATCATCCATCTCATGCGTTTTCAGCTTCCGATTCTAACGCTGAAACTTTACGGATGCTTGGAATTAGAAAAGAATGTTTCTCAACTAGTTGAATTAATACATTCGCGAGTTAATACTGATACTGCTTTACATCTTCAGTTATCAGAAGATTTTCGGGAAAGGCTGTTGTCGACCATGTCTTCGTCATTTTCATTTCTTGTGTCGTAAATCTTGTTCCAATCTCTCTATGACATTTTTTGATTCATATTACTTCATTTAATGCTACGGTGCAGAAAATTTTTTGGACTGTTCGTGTTTTTGACTTTCCCAGTAGTTCCAGATAGTCTGTTACCTGGCCAAATCATTTTCTGGGTTATTCGGGACAGGTTTTGCGAATTTTAAGCACCTCTTGATGGAGGACCGCAACAAGTTAAGAACATCATTTTTGCTGATTAGAATTTGAAGGTGTATTTTTTAAAACAGCTTTTAATTTTCCATGTTCTATATGTTCTCATTAATATCACCAGCTTCAAGAACTATTTTATTGCTCACTCAGAACTAGTTGCAAGCTTACTGAGTGGCACTTCTCATTAGGGCCATGATTATAATTAGGTTTTCTCACTGTTTCCTAGTAGCAGTTTTTGAATTAGTTCCAAAAAATTAGTCTTATGTAATAGTGTATATCCATAATTGCAGTTTTTATTATCAAACCCATGTTTTCTTCACTGAGTGCAACTTTCACTCTTTTTAGTTGTTAGTGTTAAAGTAAGTTATTCTAATCACAACCTCTGAACTAAAAAAATCATGACGAAGGATCTGCGTTTCCTTCATGCACAGGCTGCAACAGACAGATTTTGGCACTTTGTTATGTCTCCAAATAAAGAGGAAAAGGATACCTTCACGTTACTGTTACATCGTCCATGGTGGAATGTGTTTGCAGCACTAGGTGCACTAACCCGAAGACAAGCCACAGAATAGGCAACGTTCTGGAAGGAGTAGTAGAAAGAATTGGCAGAGCACCTTTGATGTTTCTAAGCCTGCGAGTCGCTGTTTTATGCTCACTATGTTTGTCGAATTATTCAGTAAGCAGCTGTCGTTATGAGTGGTGGTGTTCAAAGTACCATAAATTGGGCCCCATCCGCTTTCACTGGTCAGTAAACGTCAATAAAACTGGCTGTTAGATTGTGACCTAAGCCATAAGTAAGTGGGAGAAGGTGAAATTGCAAAATCAGCTTTAGACGGAAAATTGCGAGCTACTCTAACGTACAATTTTAACCTACGGAAAAGTTACAGCTGCTGTGGCCAGGAACTGGATTTAATTACAGAACTGCTTGCATATTATACAAGCAAGAGTTGTTTGTATAATACGCAGAG